ATGCAAAGTTCTTTGCCACACTTGAGTCACCATCCAGGTCACTCCAAACAAAATCTTCTCCTGGATCCATGGAAAACTGCAGTGGCAGCAAATCATAGTTTGGTCCTACCAGAGGCACAGAGGCTTTCACAGAATCACTCTTAGAGTCCTTTTTTTCCTCTGAAGGCACCAAAGGAGAAAAGTGCGCTGAATCAAAAGCTAGAACCAATGGACTTTTAATGCATATACTTGGATCACACTCCAATGGAAGATAAACCCCTCCAAAGGGAATGGGTGCGATTGGTTCCCCTCCAAATCCGTACAAAAACTGGTCAGCTATGATTATAATTGGACGTCTCAGAACCTGTGCCAAAACAAAGACATGAATGTCCTCTAAGCTTTCAAATGCTCCTATCTCAGTTTCTTCAGTAATTTTTTCTTTTGAACCATCTGGTGCAGGTGACTCACTCTGATCTTCATTATCCTTCTTAACATTTCCATCTTGTTCTGCTTTTGGTGGGTCAACCACATCCTCAGCATCCTTTGCTGTGGCAGAGTCATGCGTATCCTCATTTTCCTTCTCAGCTATAGAGGCTAAAGTTGGGGCTGTCTCCCCTCCTTTTTTGCACTCTGTAGCTGCCTTTTGCTCATGATCCAGTCGGCGCTGTGTAGAGGCTATGCGTAACACCTCCTGCCATTCATCTTCCCACTCTTGTTCTGAGTAGAGCAGTCCACCAGCCTCCTTATTTTTCTCCCACTGTTGAAATCTCCAACGGCGTTTAATAGCTCCTTTGGCCAAGTGACTTGTAAGAGTATCATATAAGGCCTTGCGTAAAGTAAGGAGGCGATCTTGGAATCCCCACATTCCCAGAGAGGCAGCATGTAACAAACAGTTGCCATCTCCCACTGTTGCCAGGGGCAAAAGACGTTGGCAAACACCTGAATCAGCCCACCAGTTCAGCCGTCCTGAGAAGAGATGGAAAACAGTCAGTAAACAAAGTATGCATAGCCTAAGTTCATTGTAAATCACCTGTTACTGCTAGTTGACTCAATTAACTAAAGCCCAAGGGCGATATACTGCAGGATGATGTACCCCGAAAATGTCATTCACCATGTTGTGTCAAATGGCACCTATTAAATTACATCACTTTCTGAGAAGACCATTGTAAAATTGCCTAATGCAAAGTTAATCCTCAGAGATAAGAAAAAACAAACCAAGAACAAGGAGAAAAGAAGTGCCATAGCAAGAGGGTTTACTCTAACTTATAATATAAAAGCCACGAAAGACCTTGAAATATCATGCAGGGAGACAAGAGTTCAAAAATGAGATTTCACAGGGAGGTTATGATATTTTTGTCAGCTTTCAGGGGATGGAACAAAAAAGTAATCAGAAGAAGCAATACATTGCTCCTTGTTAGAGTAGTGAGGTGAAAAGGTAATGTTAAGGACTTTTACAGGACTACACCCTAGAACAAGGTATAGTCAATAGACACTTCTACAATCTTTCAATCCCATCACTCTCATGAGAGACCAAGACGGAATTTCTCCTTACAATATCAAGACAATATCAAGTAGAAAAGTAATAAGAAAAGAGAAAAATATCAATGAAGGAAATTAGTAGTTGATCTAATGACAGACTCTCCAAACTAACATCATTGAAATAGTAAGGCAAACATTAAAGAAAGGAGAATTACTATCAAGATCTGATTTATGGTTAATGTCTTGAAAAGCTTATTTCTAACTCAGCTACCATGGGTCAGAACTTTTTTAAACAACTATAGTGCTTAATTGTTAATCCACCAAAGTGTTACTGTATATAATAATAAGGCTGTCAACATAAATGGGCCTATCTTCCTAAAATTTTGAATATATTTTGAATATATTTGGAATTTAATTAAATTAGTTTTAATCAGTTTTCTTAATTACCAGTATTAAGTGATAGTTAACATTCTGACTGAAAAGTCCTGTTGAAGGGAGTTTCAATAAAGTATGTATGTATCTTCCCTAATAGCACTGCTTGCTTTGTCTTGCAACCTAAGATTTCATTTTGGCCTTAAATCATAACATTTTTTGGTCTCAATAGTGAAGCATTCCTCTCAGTCCAAAAACACCTTAACCTCTTCTAAGAAGGGCAATCAAAAGACATTTTGTCGTTGATTATTCGAAAATTCTCAGCACTCGTCACGAGGAACCACATCTCAGAAGTCCCGTAACGATCGAGTTATGGAGAAAAGCAAGCTTCTCCTATGAAGATGAAAAGCATCGAAGTCGTACAACATAATCTGAACTTTCGATGTGTGACTTAACTTGAATGAAAAAATTGAGAGGATGCAAACAGACTTTTTTAAACTTTCCAAAGCTTACAAATGTGTTGGAATGAAATTAATTACCCCGAAGTAAGCCTGTCTTACTGTTTACATTTGCGCTTTCTTCACAAATTGGTAAGTTTGGCATCATTTCCCGCAAAAAAGGAAATAAGTCATGATTTCAGTTTACCTGCTTGCTCCAAAGCGACTAAAGCCGAGGTTTCAATTAAGTCTCTCCGGAGGAAGTCGCTTAATTCTTCTGGGAAGTTGGACAAATCTGGTAAAACGAAAGTGAAATCGGACATTTCCTCAAATCTTTCATATCTCTCGTCTGTACCCGGCACCTTGTCCTCTATCACTTTATGCCTAGCTTCTCCAACGATATCGGCATTAACCATCGACAGCCCACGTTTGCCTTTTCCACTCGCAATATGACTATCATCACCACACTGTCCTTTGCTTTGCGTACATGAAGCTGAAGAGCCAAGCGAAAGCGCTTCAAAAGCTGAAAGCGCTTCGTCAACATTCCAATTTGTACTCTCTAATAGGTCTCTCGCTAAGCTCGGATCTATCCCAGTCTGAGCGATGAACTGACTCAGAGTGTCATCCATTGCATCAAGCAGTACAAGTCACTGACAAATAATTTAAATTTAAAAAAAAACCTATGACACAAACCTCAGCATCTCATTTAGCTTTCGCTACAATCATCGATTTCATTTCTTTTTAGTGCCCAGTTTCCTCATCTTCATTGTCCCCCACAACGATTCACTGTGTCTTTGTGGGGGTTTCGAAAAATCGCAGAAATAAGTTTTCAAATTTTGAACATTTCCATAAATAGGATTGAGGAAAATTTTTGACCCAAAGTCGAGCAAAAGTGATCTTGCACATATTCTTACAATCGGGCTTCAAACAAGTTTTTTTTTGGTTCCCTGAAAAACCACATTTCTTTATCAAACTCGAAGATTAGTTCCCTCTCTCTTAACATGACGGGTAACTTCCAAAGTTTGTATGAGATCTCTATCTTTTAAACGTGTTTACGTCTAAACCCAATTTCTACCTAGTAGTGGTTATCGTATATTCCGAGAAATATTTCTCCTCCGGCCCCAAAAATGATTGAATGCCTCCAAAATGTATTAATAACCTTTTGGTGGAAATCTACATATTTCTTCCCTTCTCTGGATTCATGACCATCACGTAATGTGATACTACGAGGTAATTAAATTTATGTTCATACCACAAATACAAACAGAAAAACAAACAACATAGAGCAAAATCACAACTGAAAAAAACACAACAAAATATGAGTCAGCTATCACACTTTGGTTGTATTTCGTTGATAAAACGATGGAAGTCCTGGTTGCTTAGCTATAACAGGAGTAGACAATTAATTTAATGATAGATGTTTACAGGTTTTGATTCTAAAACTCAATTTTTCATTCTGGCTTAAACAATTCAAGGAATATTTCCAAGACAAATTAAAATATGATTACGGTACTTCATATTGAATAGTAACGTATGATCCTATCATTAAGAGAATTATGGCGGAGAATTCCACATCACCAGATCCTCCCCTTGATCTGACACACCTCGTTATCGATATTATATTATCTGAATAAGATACAAGTTCCTAATCAAATAGCACATCCAGGAGATCCCTACCATCACAGCTTGATAATCTTTTTAAAAATCAATTGCTTTAAATTAGTTCAAAGCAGACAAAGAAAGAGATAGAAACAGAAGCAAAGTCTCATTATCTGCGGTGCCACCAACTCAATTTTCGCTTGAGAGGAGTCTGGGAACTAACCTTTTGTCAAGCACGAAAAGTGCAGTGTAATGTTGTTAAAGAATAGAAAACACTGTGCTAAAAAATTCACTAGTGTTTCGCTGGTACCAAACCGGAAATATGCACAATAATTGGCCCTAGGGTAATTTATTTATCATTTATTTTTTAGAAATGCTCGTTGTCTGACACACCCTAGGTGTGCTGACAAATTTCCGGCAAAAAAGATTACAGTCGAATGATTACAAAATCATGAGGGGACACACTTCCTGAAAAATATTGAGCACAGTTTTTTCATCCATATTTACCAATAAATATGCATATTGGTGATCGATAGGTCTACATGAAATGAATATGACCTCTTAGGATAAATCGAGGAGGTTGGAAACGATCTTGTTTAAAAATTTCTTCCATATATTTGGACAATTCTGTTTTCTTTTCTAAGCTTTCGCGAAGAATGCATGTGGAGCTGACACAGAGAGGGGCGAAGGACTCAAACATGTTCAAGATGCTCATTTCCTACTTTGTTGTGTTTTCATTACATCATCAACTTTTGTAATCCGATGTTTGCATAAATATTTATGTTATCCTGTTAATTACTTTCAAGAAGCCGATCTTGTCGATACAGAAGTTCGTCATAAACAAAAATCGTGAAGCCCACACCGGCTAGGAAAGGTGAAGTTTCGTCAAGAGAATGTATTAGAGAGGAACGCGAACGAATAACACAGTCGCTGAGAGAAACAAAAAGGGAACTAGCATCTGGAGAAATATAAATTTGAGCATTATCGAAAACGAGAAATAGATTGATAAAATCAATTTATCACCGTGACGAAATTGTTCCAGGAACCGATCAGGGCGAACCCCCGGAAGGACCTGTGACGTCACTGAATCTTTTCATTAACTTGTGGCAGCTGAAGATTTTGGTTAATCGTTAATTTATTCCAAATAGTTCGCTCTTCACTGAAAGTCGGTAGACAGTGGGCGAGCTTTATCCGTGGCTGGCATCCGCACCGGGAGAGTTCAACTCGCATTCAGACATGGCGAAGACATTGTTCAAACACTCCAGAAAGGGAGATATCAACGATTATTATAACATTCAGGAAGGAGAGCTAGGGAGGTACGTAGAATCGTTTGTGCAGTGTTTTGTTTCGTTCAACTACGGCCTTTCGATTTTGCAGTACAGGTAATTCGCTTTGACAGGGTACTCAGCGCATATGGTTGTCCTTAGTAATAAACTGTAGCAACATTCAGCATGTATGCTCGCGTTGATCGATCGAGTCTTCGAATGCTCATTTTTTTGTTGTTTTCATTTTTAGAGGAGCCTCGTCTGTGGTTAAGATGGGCAAGCACAAGGGGACCAAGAAAGATTACGCTATTAAGATAATAACCAGAACAGTAAGTGAATCCTTAAGGGTTTCGTTTTCTATTTTGCACACCTGAAAGATTGAACACCAATGAATCATTCCGGCAGCGTTCGGCTTCTCGCTAGTTTGTGTATGCAAAGCTGCATTTGCAAATTTATCTGTCAGAGTGTTCAACAGCGGGGAACGCGGTAGTTATGGCGAGTTAGTTGCCATGTCATCGAGGTTCTATATTTATAAACTTGCACACTTTCGTCTCAGAAAGGATCCCACTGGTACTTAAGTAAGCCTTTTAAGCTCCTTAGATTTCTGCAAAGTGTAGAACTCGTATGTAAAAGGTATAAGTTTTTTTCCTTTATTATAAAACGTAACAATAAATTTCTATTTGTAACTTTAAAATGTTAAAACCATCTACTGTAACCTTTTTCCGATATCGGCGCTAAGGAGCCAATGTTAGACTAAACAAGTTGAGACAAGTATTGTATACCAATTAAATGTGATGGGAAAAAAAATCAGATCCATCGATCTTTGATCTTAAGAATGAAAGCGTAGTCGACGAAGAACCTCTAGCGCTGCAGCGTGTGGTTAAGTTGTAAACATCATCCCATGAGCGTCTTTGAAGTTGCTACACTCATTGCAGTATAAGCTCGTTATTATTCACTAATTGAAAGCATTAAGAATCTTAAGTACATTTGCTTCTTGAATAGTTCAAACGCCAGCACTTGTTGAAATATTTCAATGATCGTCCTCTACGTCATCAATAGCAATTGTGGAGTTTACGTGGCGAATTTGTGTTTTCCTTGTCATCGTTCTTCGGTAGTAAGGAAAGATGCTAGTAGTTTAATTTTTACACCTGACCTATGAGACTTCCTTCTTTAGACATGCCAGATTAAATATTGTTAGAAGTGAAGCAATGTCAGAGATAAACAAAATTAGCTGGAGCTCTACAGATCTTGTATGATATCACTTTTGAAAAGGCCAATATTATAGAATTGCAAGGCTATCGATCAAAGGGACTTATTGAATTCTTTACATAGAATGCAAACTCTTTTCTTCTTTTTTAACAAATGAGAAATCAACACCCCATTATTGAGCTCTACTGGAAACCCTTGATTCACAAAGCAAGGGTTTAATTTCTTGTCTGTTCAAGAATCTGACAAAAGCGAGATAAATAATTAGTGAATATTTATGCATCAACCTTTATTTACATCTTCTGTGCCTTAGTATTATGCACTGCATGGGTTTAATTTCCCAGCGATTGTTTTTGATATGTGAAGGAGATATATTTGTTTAGCTTTATTTGCATACTGCTTGAACTAACAGTGAACAATGTACAATAATGGTAAGAGTATTTTAAGTAAAACAAAATGATTGATTTCTTGCTGAACTTTTTACTCTTTCCTATAAAAATTGAATTTGGTGTTGAATCAAAATTTTAACTCTTTCATTCCTAAGATCTTAAAATTAATTCTCCAAAATGTCTGCCATACCTCTTTTATAATTTTAACCCTGAGAATTTGGAGGAAAATTAAACAGGGTCCATCAGTTGATATATTTTTTCTCCACCTCAACTTTTTGCATGAAAAAGTATTGATGTTCCAAGCTAGGAGGAACTTCTTTTTTGTCTCTTCCTGAGGGTTTAAGGATGAGGCTTGTTAATCCAAAGTCCAAAGCTTTCTAAGCGAATGTTTGGTGCTCCTTTTTTAGGAGGAAAGTTTTTCAAAGAGTAAAGTAAACTTAACATAAATTTTGTAAAGGCAGTGGTCATGGACTTTGGTCATGTTTGACGTGTACATGCAAGCTCATACTGTTGGATATCCAGTTCGTATGCAGCAGTGTCATTAATTTCTTTTTTAGCTTGATGCTCCTTTCATCCTCTCCAAAATCTTTTTTCTGAAAAAAGATTTACAGTGTAAGAAAAGTAAGTAGATAGAGGAGGTAGTTAAAATTCTATATCTAAAGATCGATGAACACCTTACTTGTTATTCAGCAACCAAAGGCCAGAAGGTCTGTAGTTCTCATCACTGTCGATGACTCAATTTTTCTCCTTTAAAAAAAAAATGTGCTATTTTAAAAACTAGTTTATGGTGGTAAAAGTAGTATATTTTCATTTTTCAATGCTATTCTGAGAAGATTATTGAATAAATTTGGCTAGGAATGCTTTGGAAGAGCCTCAAATGAGATGTAAATACATTAGTTGGAAAAAATCCAGGAGTCAAAAGCTTCCACCCTATATTTGTTGGCTCTTTACTCCTGTGGCTCTGAGTTAGTCAACCACAGTTTCTTACATTGCCAAGACTTAGTTAGTGGCTGTCTGTTTCGGCTACTTGCATAAAGTCTGTATATAATTGAAGCCTCACAAACAATTACAGTACGTATTTCTTTTTTTCCTTTCATTTTGAGAAGATATTGATACCAAGCATGAAACCTTTGGCAGAACTTTGTACCCAGACATATTAATTACAGAACATTTTCAATATCACCTAGATGTCTGTTTTTATGGGATTAGGGTTCATATGAATATTCTCCAGACCACAGATGGTTTTCATTTCATATTTATTACAGGATATAGCCAGTTATCCCAATTAAAAATGTTTTTTTTGGATAACTGGAATAGACATTCATGTGGTATATTATTCTTTAATACTTGACATCTTTTTGTCTTTGATTTTGCTGCGAATTTATATCTCATTTAAGTCTAATTAATGTGTTTATAGAAAATAATTTTCAAGGGCCATATGTCTGGGTTTATAGACAGTCACATGTCCATCTTGTTGAATTAATTTTTGCAGAATTTTCAATAACAGGAAATTAAAAAAGTTATGATCACATTAGAGAATTTTCACAATTTAAAGACTCCTCTCATTATTTAATCAAGAGAGTTTTTGTCCTCAAAAGTAACCATGGGAAAGTAATCAATGCTAAGTAAAACCACACTGATGTTAGCAACACCTCCCTGTGGCCTGTAGATGCATGTCTTTACTTAATTTACAACTGGGACTTTTTTTGGTCACCATGGCAATGAGAAAATAATTTCGCCACCAAATTTGCAGCATAAGTTAACAATGATGACCTGTCCTCAGTGGTCAATCAGCAACATGCTATGTCTTCAGAACTTGCTTTTATGGTCTGAAGTCAAAGTGAAAGAAGCATTTTCATGAAATGTTACTCATGTTCTGTGGTTTCTTCAGATAAAAGTTTGCCTCTTTCACCTTGGTTACCACAGTATTGCATCTCGAGATATTGTGTGCAAAATCTAAAAAAAATGAATTCCATCCATAAAGCTGACACTTCTATTTACTTCAAAGAAATGCGACATGATTAAGTGAGTAATGTAATTTTGCCGAAAGAGTCTTTCCTTATCTGGCAACCAAAAGGTTACCCTGGGAAACCATGCTATTGTTTTTAAGGTTGTCAAATAACAACTTTGTAAGAATGTGGAGTTTGGAATCCTGATTTATTTTTTCATTTCTACTAGGTTGATCAAAAAATAATTGCTACTGAAATTGACATCCTCTTACACCTGAAACAACACTGCAATATTGTAAGTATATTGTACCTTTTGCTTGATTATTAATAAGAAATACATTTATCTCTCCTATAAATTCATCAAAATTATGAGTATTTAAGAAATCATTCACCATTCCTCTTTTGTTAGATAAAGTTACATGAGATGTTTGAGACGCCAACACATATTTACATGGTCCTTGAGCTTGTGACTGGAGGTGAACTGTTTGAAAGGTGAGGGCTGTCAGTACACAGAGCTCTCACGCAATGATTTTGAGACTCATGCTAACAAATTTAATCCTGTATGCTCTCACTCTGAAGCTATCTTTCCTCATGCATTTAAGGTTTCTGATTTAAACTGTTGATTTTGAGAAAGCAAGCTGCTACTTTAGTGAAATCCCTATTAAATTAATTATCCTGCTGTGTCTCATTTATCGTATGAACTCCTTGTTCCTTTTGTACTCCCTTCAAACACTTTCCTATGGTGGAAATTTTCGCTCAGACTATAGGAATGCATGACTTTGCTATTTCATTTTTCTGCAATTTTCCTGGGGAGCATGCCCCCATACCCCCATACCCACATATTCCCCTATATTCCCCTAGGGAAGTGATTTTCCCTTCATCACGCTTGAGGGCTGCATGGTCGAAAATCTCCCTGCCAGTGATAAAACACTTAAACAGCCTAAAATGTGCATCAAGCACTTTGATTTGCTGTGCAATTAACATGGTCCCATTTTGGTGAGAGGGATGGAGGCATCAGTGCAACTTTTTGTGATCTGTCATTATTGCCATGGTCATTTCGATGTCAAATCTCAGTGATTTGTGGCTAATCCTGAGTGCTTTTCATGATGGCCACAAGGCCATCACCAGCCACTTAGTCTCCTGAAAGACTGGTGGGTTTGTGAGTATCTTGAAATATTGGGCAGCAGCTCAGCAGCAAAACAAAATGGATACAAAACCACCATCTACACATATTTGCCACTAGGGTTGATGAAAAGGTGTTATTATCCATCGTTACGAAGAATCTCAAGCGCAGAATAAGTAAGATAGTAAATTTTGAGCCTAGTTGTCATTAATAAAGAAAAAATATGCCATTCATTTTGCCTCGCGGGAGTGAGACAAAGAAGAAAATATGGGCAACCTGATGATCCTGTTCCACACTGGCTCACTACCTTGGTCTTTCCTGGGTTGTTGCCAAACAATTTTATTTTCTTGATTTCCATGTTTCTTAATTTTCTGTTTCTTGATTTTCTGTTTCGTTCATAGACCTTGGGTGAGTTGTTTGCATTTCTGTTCCCTTTTCGTCCCAAAGGGGTAACAAAGTACTTTTCCTTCTTCTTATGATTCTTCTTTAATTTTCTCTAATTTGTGTTTTGTTTACAGAATTGTGGAAAGGGGTTATTATTCAGAAAAAGATGCAGCTGATGCAGTCAGACAAATATGTTGTGCCTTAGAAGTAAGTGTTGAAGAATGTAACGATTTATTGTTTTCTTTAATTTTTAATTGAGTGTCATAAAAAATCTGAAATTGTAGTTCCTTATTATTTGTTTAGTCTGTGGCTGTTTACAAAACTCACATCATTCTCTCTGCTAATAGGAAGCAAAACTGAAACCAGTTGGGATTAGGTGGCTTGTTTTTATTTTTAGTTCTCATTGGCTTTACCTGGATGTTCCCTTGTTTTGATGAAGCACTGTTATTTGGGTTGAGTTTTGAAGTACTCCATCAAAAAGTGCACCATGTGCAGTCATGCAAATTTATTGCAGCTTTAATTTCAGAGAATAATGTTACTGTGTTTACAAGACTTGATAAATATCGATCAAAGATATTGAATTTTCTTTTGTATGCATTGCATTTCAGGTTATTCACAGTCACAATATCATTCACAGAGATCTTAAGGTAACAAAAGAATTAAAATCTTCTGGTCCCTCATAGTTACTTGTTCTAAAATAGATTGATTTTAACAAATACCTTGGGAAAGTGTTGAACTTTATGTGTACATGTACATTTATTTATAAACATGTGTTATGAAAATATGTTAGTTATTTTCAAATCATTGAAACACTTTTTTTCTAACCTCCTGTAGGTCTATCTTTAATACTCATAAACTGACAAACACTCTCATATGTTTTTAAGCAATTGAGTTCTATACTTCTGCCATTTTTTACCATGCTTATTAGATGTACTTCTTTTTGTGTTAAGCCAGAAAATCTCTTGTACGCTGACAAAAGTGAAACCTCAGACTTGAAAATTGCGGATTTTGGGTTGTCAAAGATGCTTTATGGTGAACAGTGCAATACAGCTACAGTGTGTGGAACCCCTGGATACTGTGGTTAGTAAACAGGTTGATCTTAAGACTGTTTGATATTAATTTTCTTATTGTTAAGTCTGCTTGCTGAAGACAAATTTTTATTCTAATCCAGAGACTGATTCACCTTATTGAACACTTTATTTGTCCTCCTTCCTCTGAAACTTGTGTTCAAACCATGTTTGTTCATGTTCACATAACTTACGTTCTCCATGGAGTTGGGGGGGGGAGGGGGGGTTGGTGCATCTACCCCTTAAATTTTAAATTTTGGTATCTCATTCTAGATGTAGTGGAACATAAATTTTACATCGAGAATCAACAGGGTCTTAGGTTACATTATCTGACAACACAGCAATAACCAGTCCATCAATGATTCTTGATATCCTGCAACAACCTTATCCAATGATTGTAAATTTTACTTGCTGAAAACTATTGATTATAGGTATGATTGTACTCCCATTTGTAGAGAAGTCTTTGTTTGTAGATGATGCAATGAAACTATGCTAGCCAGGGTGGTAGCGAAGAAAGTAGGCTGCCAGTGGAAATTCCAAGGATAGCATTTGATATCAAATGTAAATGTGTACCTCAGAAGTTCTTGTTGTGCTGAATCAATGCAAACAAAAAAGCAGCCTGTGATTGATTCCTTGAAACTATCTGCCCAAGAACTAAACATGTTGATTTGCAAGAAGTTACTTTTAGTAAATGTGTATTTCTCAATTTTTCTTCAGCTCCTGAAGTTCTTATGGGCAAACAATATGACACTAAAGTGGACATGTGGGCTGTTGGTGTTATTGCTTATATACTGTGAGTAATGCACAATCTTTCCTGAAAAAACTTGTCACCACCCATTCTATTGGTGAAAAAAGTAATTTAGATGTGATATTTAGTTTCCATTAAGTAAGAAGAACATTAATGAAAACATGATGAATTACAGAAGAAAAAAGCAGGCTGAGAAGAATACTCCCTTTGAAAATAATTGAATGTATTGAAGTATGATGCAAGGAGTGATTAACAATTGAATGATAATTTTTATCGTGTATCATTTCATCCATGGGTTACTGCTTGGCTGTTGAGGGACTGGGTAAGAAAGTTATTCAAGCCATAGGCAGCACTTTCTATAAGTTTACCTGCAGATATATGTAACCCAGAGCTTAATTATCCTAGTTTCCTACTCTTCCTTGGATTGGATATTAGTCCATCGCAACATTACCACCTCAGCGTTTCATCAGGCTTCCCTGGCAATTTGCTGATACCCGTTTATACTCCTGCGTATAAAAGTAAAATGTCGTGCCCAAGAACACGACACATTGACCTGGCCAGGTGGTGAATCCTGACCTCCTGACCAGGAGGCCAAAGTGTTAACCATGAATTAAAATATTTCTCACTTATAGTAGCTGTTTGAAGGTTCTTTGATTTTGAATTGTTAAACATGAACTAGATTTGTGAATTGTTCACTCCTGAAGGTTGTGTGGTTTTGAGCCTTTTTACGATGAACGAGGTGATCAAGCGATGTTTCAAAGGATCTTAAAATGTGATTATGAATTTGTTACTCCATGGTGGGATGAAGTTTCAGAAAATGCAAAGGTTGGTTTAGTGTAATACTTTTGAATTGTTTTTAAAGAAGCGTAATTAAAAAACGGATTTATATAACGGATCATTCTGAAGTTAATTGCTGTACTTTGTCTTCCTAAAAGGTGTTACTGGCTATCTGTCTGTGGAAAACAAGAGAAGAAAAATGTTCACGGAATTTGCCCATCCAATATTAAGACTGGAAAAGAATCCCCTAATAACGCCTTTTTGCAAGATTACAAACCATTACTTGCTTACCTTTGCCTTTCTACAGGATCTTGTCAGCAGGTTGATAGTTTTGGACCCCAGTAAGAGGTTGACAGCAAGACAATGCTTAGAACATCCTTGGGTACAGGTAAGCCCGTAGTAGTGGATTAGAACGGCGTATTTGACGACGACAAAACAGCATAGCTGTGGATAGGTAGAGTGGGGAATGGAGATAGTTTGGTACTTCTTGCCTAAGCCACCCACTTCATAGGATCCGGATCAAGCGAGTTTTACAAGTCATTGTGTAAAGCTTGGCTTTTGCCTGGTTTCTTTCAAACCTTTATTTTTATTATTATTTCGAGAACTACAATATTTCTAAGTTTCACTTTGTTCGATTCCTGTCTTGTTCAAAACTTCAAATTGACCGTTCTACGTAGTTGCGTGACCCCGTAACCATGCAGATGTGTCACGCAAGTTATGGCCATGTCAATCAATAAATCAAGCCTTCAATTAACCTTTTAATTACGCTCTTCAGATTTTACAAATGAGAAAAAAAAGAAGAGAAAACACAACCGTTTAGAGATAGCGAATGCTAGTCAAGCTACATGTAAGTGGCTGTGGAAGGCTCGATAGAAGCAAAATTACAGTTGTGTTGTAGTGGTGTCTCAAACCTTTTACTTTGGTTGTGTCCTTCCTAGGGCAAGGGTGCTAAACGTGACAAAATGGACCAGACGTTCTTCGACAAATTGAACGAATTTAATGCCAGACGAAAGCTGAAAGGAGGAATGATCGGCGTAATGGCATTAACTAGTGCATTCAAATCGAAGTAATAGGTCTTGCTTCTGGGAAGCTGTGCTTGGAACCTAACGGTCGTGAAACATATATCTTTACTTAATGCTCCAGAGTTACGACGAACAATTTTGCGAAGGAAATAGTTCAGGCACCTTTCAGTTTTGTGAAAGCATGTGTAAGCGTTGCTGCATATATCTGGAATTTTTTGTTTTTCGTAGTCTTTATAAGATGTTTTTTTTTTCTTTTTTTATCCCGACTGATTTTTGTTTGCCATTTAGTAACATAAATTCAAATCTAAAATGAACTTTTCAAAATAATATAACTGACACTACCAAAAAGACAAGGATTACAGGCAAAAGTATCTGCAGGTTAGAAAATCGCTGTCTATATACTTCAATTTACTGTTCAATATAATTATTCCCTTTAGTCAGAGTCTATTTGAATCTCTTACATGGTTTCTGTGACGTTCTGTGACTGAAACACATGGAGATACACAAATCTAAAGCTCATTGAATGAAATCAAACAAACTTGATATGATTGCTTTATTAAACGTTCTTTCAGTTTAACTAACATTAAATTGGTCGCTGAAAGATTCTTCTATATAAATCTCCAGTTTCGTGTTTGTGTTTTTTTTTCAGTCTGGTAGTTTCGTGGGTCACTGAGCTGTGTTACGGGCGAGACAGTTTACTCTCACAGTTCCCCTCCCTTCACAGGAGAATATAGGTACCAGCAAGCGGTCGTGACAACCTGACGAAATGTGTAGGGAGACTCGCCAGCGCCGTGCGCTTAGTTAAGGAGACTGGGTATAGATTAAGCTAGGGATTGGGGTGAGAGATCGACTATCATTTCCTCAGCTTTGGAACGAAGAAAACTTAAAAGGAAATCGTGAAAACTGTGCTTCGGTCTCCAAGCTTTCAACCCTGGTAGAAGTTAGTTGACGAGACTTCCATCTTGACAAACAAAAAGGCAAGCCAAACCAAACAAACAAACAAAAAACGACGGAACAGTAAGCTTGCATATTTCGCCGATGATGGGCGCGCGAAAAGCAAGAAGCATTGTTGAAAAGAAAGGGGAGTCGCGGGAAAGAAATGTCCAAGATTTTTAAAGATGTCAAACATTCTCTTTTGCTTTTATATACAAATACATAGGGGGAGCATATCTTGGTATAGTTATAAATAGAGGTACAGTTACCTATCCCACTGTTTCATGCTGGATTGTTCTAGTTTGCCAAAAAATAAAAAAAAATAACTTGTCGTTCTAATACCTAACAATTATTTTGTGGCCTTACCTGAGCCTTACTGAAAATCTTAATACGGTTCTAAGCTAACTGTACTAGAATACTTATCATTCAAATTGATATGGTGGCTTCATGCTGATAAATCGAGGCTTTCTTCCTCGCTACTCGCGTGAATTTCTAACCTCGAGGTGAGGCCTTCCTCGCTACTCGCGCGAATTTCTAACTCGGAGTACGAGTCCGTTTCTCCATTGCCTGAGAGCGTGTGAACTATCACGTGAACACCAATTGAATGCTGGAACTTGAGAGCAAAGTTCCCATGTGATCAGCATCGCCTTGTCATAGTCTTGTCCAGTGACACAATAGTCGACACTTGATGAGTTATTTCAACAGGTCCACGGCAAAGGCTACTCTCTTCGTAACAATAAATTGTACTCGTTTAAAATATAATTGAACTATCAAGACCTCTCCAAAGATTTTATCCAGTGTTTGTCTTAATCCAAGCAGGTAAGAGTTCTTCTAATATAGCGGATCTATAAGAAAACGCATATACAGCTGAAAAATATTTTGGAGAAATGGTATAACAACTTGTGGACTGATAAGGAAATATTTATACAGACACATCAACAAGAGCAGAATGAAAAAAAAAGCAAAAAAAAATATTCAGGACTCAACAACTTTATTTTAATTACACGAACAATTCATTTCCCCTTTCCACAATATTCAATATAATAGTTTCCGATTTCTCTTACCCAGACAACGTGTAGATATCGCAGACCAGATGATATTCTCTTGTGAAAAGCACATCACGCCGAGTTTACCTCCACGAATATCAGGATCTTTTATCACACCGCTATCCATCATTAGCTTGTTGTACTTTCGCCAAATTTTTAACCTGAATAACAAACGAGTGAAAAAAAACTTTAAAATCTAGTCCCTAAGATAGGAACGCTTGTTTGTTTTGGGAAACTGGAGATCAACGAAGGGCCAATGGCTTTTACCTCATGGTACTTTTCGACGGCATATAAACCAGTTGCCATCGGTAAGCTGTCTTATCATGCCAGCCGTGACCATTCTGTTGATCTTTCCAAAGAAGAGTCGCCTGAGAAAAGAGAAGAATATGAGATGAATCAGCCTTTACGTTAAAAAATTTGTCAGGAAGAGTGACGCCAAGCATCGTTTTATGAGTGAGTGGGGTAACAAGTTTGATATTTAAATGTGCTCTGAACATTTCAATACATTACAATGATAGAATAATGATAACGATTATAATATTGATAAAGATAATTATAATGGTGATGATCATGATAGCGACTACAATAATAATAATGATGATGATGATGATATGATAGTAATTATAGCAGTTAGAAGAAAAGGAAAGCTCTCTGAAAACCTTTAATATATTACCCACCAAAAATGGCACTGAAAATTCTCAACGGGATGAGTAAAAAGTGTGACTATAATAAGTATGTAAATCTCCATCAGATTTATTTAGCGACTAATATCACTGTGCTACAATTCCAAATAAACCTAAGTTTAAGCTTGAAACATTCACGTGCGTAACTCTCAAATAAAACAGCACTTAAAACTAACCTCATGTGAGACGTTTCCCGTGTGCCAAAGAACATTCCGCAGCATGCGCGACGGACCACTTATAGAGTTAATTTTCTAGAACATAAAAAAATAAACAAATCATAAATTTTAGAAAAAACTAAAAATAAAAAGGATTTCAGAATTTTACCAATTGCAGTAATCAAATAACTTAAATGGGATGGAAATACAATACAGGGCTTTTTGACGAGGGCTTTCCTTTCTTCGCATCATATTCTCTCTCGACCTTATTTTGAATTTAGGACAACCACAGGAATACCACAGTAACTCGCCTTGATATTGACAGCTGACTCTGCCGTCGCTCTTATCGGTCTAGTGTCCCAGTAGATTTGCCTCTTCTGTTTCCATGAGGCCACAAAAAATTTTTTCGGACTTTGGTATCCAAAGACAATGCCTATGATGTCGTCATCAGATTCTGTGTTCACAAAGAACGTACCACTGTATTCCACGTCACGGAATATTTGCTTTCCTGAACAAGAAATGAATCATTTTGATCAGCGGATTTTATCCTTTTCACCTAAGCAGGCTACTAAAACAGAGGCTGTCATCCAAAGAAAATAGATTGTAGTTTTTATTTCCCCAATCATACCCAAGTAGGCATTTAAAATCCTTAGTGACACCGCTATTGAAATTGGCAAAAAATGTTGCGGGGAGGAGGGGCATGACACTGCAAAAGTATGATAAAAAAATCCATTATTTCCAATTACCAATAAGCATTGTCGCGATACTGTTCACAGCTTGCTGTATTTCATTGCCCTGAAGAAAAAAAGGATAAGACTTCAGTCAGTGCCTTAAATTCTCTCTGTATATTTCTTTTTTCATCGTTACCTAGTAAACGGGAGCAGCTGACAAACAAAACAAAAATAAACAAACTGTGGAAAATAATAAACGGGCTAACAAACCGGGCATAAAAGGCAATCACCTACAGCCGGTATATTTATCAAAATGTCAGAGACGATTTAGCAGTTACAATAAAAATCCTCAGGTGATTATCAAGGCAACAGCTTTATTTTGTGTTAATCTATCAAAAAAAAATCACACAGAGGCCATTTTTGAAAGAGGGTGCCTCAGTGTTGTATTCCATCACCTGGGGTCAACCTCGTTTCCAGGGTCCTCTCCACCCTCGAGGAAGAGATAAGAGACTGGGAACGAGTTGAGCATGAGACGGTTATGGTAAAAACATGACGTAATTTTTGACCAAATAGATGCACGCTTCTCAATCGAGGACAATACATTGAATAATTCAAACATTCGTTTTGAATTCTCCCAACCACAGATCCCATCTTCCTCCAGAATTTCCTTCACAAGATTATGTCATATTACCTTTTTGTTGACTTTCCAGATGGGCCTTTCTTGTTTGGTGCTTTCAGGGTCAATAGCCAGAGTGTGGTACAAAGAGAAGTCCGTTCGCGTTATTCTGGGGTTGACTGGACAGGCATCTTCTTTATCGTGCACACCATCACCGTCAAAGTCTTCGATACAAGCATCGCCGTATGTATCACCTAGAAACAGAATGACAATGCAGCTCAGCATGTAGGAGCGCTGAAGTGGGGTTAATCAAGTCATTGTCTTGTGTCTTTGAGTAAGACACCTTGTTCAATTCCACACCAGAGTATAAATGTCTACCGGAAAAACCGTTCAAATATTCTCCAGCTTTTGACGCAAGTGACGTCCGTTTCTTGGTTGATTGGCTCGCTTTGCAAATACGGTGTTTTCAATGTGTACTGTAACTGCTTTTAGTTTAGATTTGATCAAAAAAGGTTTAAAAGGGACGTACATGTGATATAACTTACTTTTGGTTTGCTTTTGATCGACATTAAACACCAGTCGACAGTTGTCCCTGTAATCAGGTACCCCATCTCCATCGTCATCGCTATCGCATGGATCACCTTAGGCAGAAGCAAACGTTCAATCACTTAGTCTAGTATGTCGCATAAATTAACGAAGGACAAATGAACGAGGGACGGAGGGACGAAGTGACGGAGGTTGGAGGGGTGGAGGGGAAGAGGGGAAGAGGGGAAGAGGGGAAGAGGGGACGAGGGGACGAGGGGAAGAGGGGACGAGGGGACGAGGGGACGAGGGGACGAGGGGACGAGGGGACGAGGGGACGAGGGGACGAGGGGACGAGGGGACGAGGGGACGAGGGGACGAGGGGACAAGGGGACGAGGGGACGAGGAGACGAGGGGACGAAGGGACAAAAGGACAAAGAAACGAAGGAACGAAGAGACGAAGGGACAAAGAGACGAAGGATCGTTGGAACGAAGGAACGAAGCGCCTTTCCTGTTAACTAATAACTTAGCCTTTTCAAAAAACACTCTGTTTTCTGGCTACACCTCCCTTTCAAACTCTCTGAAAAACTTGAGAATTGCTTTCTTACCATTTCCATCCTGATCAGCATCCAGTTGATCTGGGTTTTCCTGACTCAAACAATTATCAAACTTGTCCTCTATGCCGTCACTGTCACTGAAAGAAAGAGTATATTGAGAACTTGTTTACATTGGCCGTGATAACTTCTCTCTAAATAGATAAAAACATTGACAACAACAAAAACAATTTATAGACTTTAGATAACATCTAAAATTCCTTTAATTTAATTTAATTTCATTCATTCTCTATAACATTCTAATACAGTGTACAGAAGGGGGTTAATGAGAATAAAGAAATTTATAGAACATTTAATTGAAGTAATTCTAAATCCCATAATTGGCCATCAAACAAGTACACGTTCACTAATTGCGAGAATTGGATTTCAAATCTTGGTTAATTATACTTACTAGTCGCGATCTACGTCACAAGCATCTCCCCAGCCGTCATTATCTTTGTCATTCTGGCAAAGGAATGAATT